ACACCGTTGGATATTCCCGTGCCAAACAGGAAAATGGTCGGATTTCAAACGGGGAGGCCTCTCGGCCCTGGGGGGCCGCTTCAGCTTCCCAAACTGGGCTTCACAAGTAGGGAAACCACACAGAATGTCGAGGACACCTACGACTAAAGATTCGTACTCGCCCTCCGCATTTTCAAAGTCAGCTAACTCCTGAGGCGAGACGTCGTGGGCCCGAGCCCCTAGCCTCGCCCAATGGTCGGCGGCAGTAGATCCTTGAATGTCCCGCGCATCATTTTCGTCCACCGCGTCGGACAACTTGCGGTGGGCGCCTACCTTGCGGAGAGAGATCCAACTGCTAGTCCCTATGTCCCTGGCTATGGACCTCCAGAAAAAGCTGCTCCGAGAACCTCCCCCCAGTGCCCTAACAGGAGACCTCACACCCAGGAACAAAGCCGAACAGTCCACGGAAATGGCCTTGGGAGGAGGTTCGCTGGTACGTTCTTGCCTCAGCACAGCAAGGGCTAGGGCAGCGTGCTCTGCATCTCCAGGGGTCTGTGCAAATTCACTGGGAAGAGGACTGTAGACTCCCCTCCTACAGGTCCCGTCAACATTCATCTCGACAACGGAGACCCCTGACCTGGCGATTTCGGGCCGAGTGTTGTGGAAACAGGACCCGTCAGTGAAGAGGTTCGCTTCGGGTCCGAAGACAAAAGCATCTACTGGTTCACCCTGGGCACCGAAAAACTGCAAACACCAGTCCTTGCTCGGTGGGGGCACATCAGGATACGCAGGCCACAACCTGGAAAAAATAAGAATATGTTCATCACATCCTAAAGCCTGCTGAATGAGCTCTGTACCAAAATGCTCAGCACGGCGTCTTGTAATGTCGGGGTGCTGACATTCCCAGCACCTGTGCCTCAAAGTGTCTCGACCTGCTCCACACATCGGGCACAAAGGATCGACTTCGTAGCCCCATTTCCTGAGGGTCTCTCCTGTCGGTAGGGCACCTGATAGTACTTGAAGATACAAGTGCTTTGCTTGACTACCAAGCTTCTTGGCAACACGCTGAATGAGAGGGAGCCAGACCCCACGAGCAACCAAGTCCTGGTTCCCAGGGTGCGGGTGGGTCTCAAGACCCTTGGTAAAAAACTTGTCAAGGAACACTTGGGCCAGATCGGCCACGAACTTTTCCCCAATCTGAGACGGGGGGGATTCAGTCAAAGTCCAACGACGGCCAGACCGATCCAGAAATACCGCGGGACCCTCCCAGGTCCATCCTCCAGCTTCGAGCCAGAGGAGCATGGCCGATATCGGCCCACGGGTCCGAAAAAGCCAGGGTTTTCCCCGAGTCCCTTGGAAGGCTCCGACACTCGAGTGAAACACTCTGCTTAAAACACCTGGAGTCAGCGCATCCTGATGCCTCGGGCCTCCGTGCCTACTCACTTCAGAACTGTGCCACCATTCCCAGCAGTATCTGCGTACGCAGCCCCCTGCCAGCACGATGGGGTCGCCTTTGCCCTCAATGGCCCACAGGAGGTCCAAGTTGCACCCTTTCTTACTGATCCCACAGACTCGCCCAGCAGCCCTTCTAATAGATAAGAGTTCCATCGGAGACACACCCTGGATGTCGAGCCCATAAGACACCGTTGGGAGGATCCCACCTTTGAAGAGCCTTTTCTTGAGCTTCGTGGAGACCTTGAGGCCCGAGAGCTTGGTGATCCGAAACTTGAATTTCTTGGTCCTCTTCTTCATGACAAGGCGAGCGAACGGCCGCAGCTGGTGCTTGCCACCTGCAAAATCCACTCCGAGGTTGGCTGGTGCAACAATGCCCTGTCCTGCGAGTGTCCCTAGCTTCCTTTTGATCGTGGTCAAGATGGTCACGCTGTTACCAGTGGCAAACATCTTCTTCTCAGCTAGGGGCACTCGCAAACTCTGTGAAATGGTCCAGGCCAAGCTGACCGCAAGTTCTCGTAATTGCTGAACGCAATCATCTACATTATGATGCCACGCATGCACAGAGAGGTCATCGACATGTAAACTCATACTCGTACAATCCAGCCCCCTGTGCCCAACAATGGTGGGGAGGAGGAACGACTTGGCCTCGTAGGTGGCTGACGTGGACCCCGCTACGATCCCTCTCCGAGGAAAAAGGGGTTCGCCGTACCCCCCATCGAGGAGGAGAATCCTCTTCCACCGATAAGTCGAAATAGTATATAAAAGAATATACAGAGGGAACTCAGATAAAATACTTTGCTGGAGGAGCTCTTCATGACATATGTGCTCGTAGAACTGCAGCAAGTCCCACATGAGGGCCCCGTAGTGAATCTTCTGTCCCGAATGTAATTCTGCCGATACAGACTGCCGCCACACCGTGTCGAGGGCACTGCGGCCCTGTCCCATGGAAAATTCAGGGCCCAATCCGACTTTGGATTCCCAGGATCTGCATGGGTTTCTGTGCGTCTTCCCGTGGAGCCTCGCGAACCCACAGTAGTGCCCAATAGGTCGGCGCCCTTTCACTGGTTTACTCATAAGAAATACAATGAGCTGCTGAATCCTGGATGGCCCCTGACCCAAGACATCGACCAAGTGAAATAGCCACGACAGGGCAAGGAGCGCACCATCAGATAACAGTGAGTAGTGTCTTGGATGAAACCCATCAGGGGTACATGTCTGCCTCTTGAAACGGGAACTGATATGCCGCAAAGCTTCGGGAGCTACACGCTCCCCCACAGGGATCCTTCCCTCAGGAAGGTCGAAAGGAGGCAGCTCAACTCGAACGTCACTTGCATTCCACGCCGCCTTCCACACTTTGGTTTCAGCAGCCAGTCGAGCAGGTAGGGAACTGGAGTACACCCCATTATCCGAGACAACTTCTTCGGATACAGGTTCTCCACTGCGTAAAAAAGCAAACGCCTGCTTCATATGCCCACCTACTGCTTCAGCACACCATTCTTTCCACGAATCCCTGGCCCTGGATCTGTCTTCAACGAGACCGACACGAACCCACAGGCCGACGAATTCCAGGAGCGAGTCGATACGGTCGATGATGGTATTCAAGAGTGGTGCGCCAACTAGCTCTTGAGCAAATACCGCCAGTACAGGGTGCCAGAACTCGCCCCCAGCTTTCCAGTGCCTCCTGAAGGGACCCCCTCGAACTGGAAGACGTTGCCATTGTCGCAGGAGCCCCAAGAGGTAACCTTCCCTGCCGCCTCGAAGAAATAGAGATCTCAATTCTTGGAGCCTATGGTGGACCCATTCCAACGCACGCCCTGGAAAGGCGTTCTCGTACTGTTTGGTAACCAGGAGCGATCTGAGAGGTTTATCCTTGAACTGCAAGTCGGATCCCCCAGGGAGCCCAGGCGAGTCCCTAGCTTGACACACGTCCAAGATTTCACCCCAGGCCTGGGAGACCCAGATATCATACACTCGATCCAGTAGAAGAGCTCCCTGGGATTTATCAGCCCCTGTGGCCATGTAGGAATTCCCATCAGCATCTTGCAAAGGTAGGAGGAAGCTCTCAATGTCTTGTACAATCAGATCATAGCTGGGAGGAGCAGGCGCAGGACCCACTGCAGCGACAGGTGGCACGTGTTGAAACTTAACAGGGACTTTGACATAGATATCCTTCAGAGCCCTCTTCACAGAAAAACAGACTGGCCTGTGCGGACTGTACGAGCCATCTATATCTGTGAATACCTGTCCTGCAGCAAAATCTAAATGCTTGCTGACAATAAAGTAGTCAATGACTGAGAAAGCTTCTGGGGCCACGAACGTGGATGCAATAGGAGCCCTGATAACTCCTGCAATCTGCACAAGTGGGGCGTTGCTGGCCATCACGCTGGGTCCCATGTTGAAATCTCCGCCAATGCAGAATGGGAGTCCATGGTCGAAGATATCCTTCCACACTGTCTTCAAAATGTCCACATTCATCCCTCTGTAACCGAGAGAATCCTTTAAATAGACAGAGTAGATCGCCACAATGCCAAATTCGGAAGAACGAAAGAAAATCCTCACAACTCTCCCATCGTAGAGGGATAAGGGAGACGACGGTGGTATCCAAGAGTCTAGATGCTTCTTGACCAGGATCATCGTGCCACAACTGGGTCTCCCTGTCTCCAGACTGGTGATGCACTCTCCAGCATAGACTCTCCAGCCTTGCCGCTGGAGTCTTGCACGGGTCCTTGAAAGCCTCGCACCAGCCAGTTTGTGTTCCTGTAGAAGAAGAACATCACCGACCGTGGTCCTCACCAGCTCTGAGAAGCTCCCTCCTTTGACATTTGAAGATCCATCATCCGCGCCTTCACTGTGCCAACTGTTCCCATTGAACGTGATGATGCTGAGGGGGTGAAGCTCAGAAACGACTTTCTTTTGGGCAATTCGTTCGGGCTGCCCACAACCGACTGACCCACGACTGGAAGTACCTGACACTGAAGTTGTTGTGGGCTGTGTGGCGATTGCCCCTTGGCCTCCCGACTGTCCCGACTCGGCCTGGTTACTGCCACACGGGCCCTGGCCTTGTCGGTCCAGGGGCTCTGTAGGAGCAGCGCCACACAGCCCTGAGGAACTGCTCGAAGGCAAAGAGGCTCTCGCCGAAGAAATAGTACGTAAAGCAGCAGTTTCCTGCTGCGCTGGTGCTGCAGTTGCCTGCTGCGCCGTAGCATATGTGTGGACCAGCACGTCCTCCTGTGGGATTGCGACGTAGCAATAGTCGAATGGTATGCCACCACACCAGTATGAAGAGGCCGATCTTGATGCCGTACTCCTCTGAAGCCCCGCCTCTTCGACTCCACTACCGATGCCAGTCAGCCCGAACACCGATCCAGAGTTTCCGAGAACGAGGCCCTCGAGGTCGCACTCGCTAAAGGTCATGCTCTGAGCCGTCACCACACCCATCGAACTCCCAGTCAGAACGCGTGCCAGTGCCCATAGCGGACGGTGGCGGTTGCTGGAAAGGTGTGGAGGGAGCGCGGGTCCCCCCGCCTGTCGGACGACCTCCAGCCCCTGGGGATCGAAACCTCGGCCTCTTGCTCGCCGAACGAATGGCTTCCAGGATATCCCTCTTCTGCGAATCCGAAATACCTTCAACCTGCACAGCTTCCATGACATCAGCCTCATCGACCTCCATGACCGAGCTCTTGTCTGCGCCCGTAGAGGCCACCTCGGGCTCTGGTGCAGGCATGGCATCGCGGAGACCATCCAGAAACTCCTTGTACCGTGCCTGTAGATTTGCGCGTACACCTTCATGTTTGACCCCAGACAATGTCCCTTCGAACGTACTGAGATGCGAAATGAAACTCTCCATCGATGGTGCCGACGCCGAAGACTCCGCCGTAGAAGCCTGGACAGCTGCAGCTCTCCTCTTGGCCTCCTCGATCTTCTTCTTCTCATTTTGAATGCTGGCTTGAAGCTCTCCCTTCTTGTCTTGGAACTTGCGAATCGCTTCATCGACAGCGCACTCTTCCTCCATGAGCTTCTCCAAGCGCTTCTCGCACTTGGTCTGCTCTTGCTCCATCTTCCTGAGCCGTTGGGAAGGGGGTACGCTGGCCAACTTCTGATCTTGAGCCACCTTCCATGCTTGAGAGATGGCGTCAACAGATGCGTCTGGCAAAATCCCTCGAAGCTTTCCTCCAGCAGCCAACTGGGAGAGACGGTGGAGCTCATCACGAATGTTTGGCTCTCTTCCTCCTCCCGTAGGTTCATCTCCCCGCTGCCCTCCCTTAGCACCCTGGTACTTGCCCTTGCCCCCGCCCTTGCCGTTGCGACCACCACCAGGAGGTCCAGCAGAACCAGGAGCACGAACCCAAGGGTTATACTCCCACACAGGCGGAGGCGGAGGGACGGGCCCGAAGTGCGGGATGGGTCCTTTGCAGTGGTAGCAGAACTTGAAGTGGCTCGGGTTTTTCTTGCACCCACAGTGCGGGCAAGCAAGGCCGACTGGCCCCTTACCCTTGCCATTGGCTTTAGCCATGCCTCAGCACAGCTGAACGTGGAAAGAACTTGCTCCAACAGGAGCTCACAAAACGTTAGAAGATGAAGACCACCACGGGCGCCTGACTGGGCTGCACCCGCGGCGGCCAAAGAAGCTGTCCTGGCCAGCTGCCTTGATAAATGGCAACTTGAGCCAAAATGGCTACGGTCCTGCTCCTCCTCCTCCTCCTCCTCCTCCTCCTCCTCCACCTCTCCTCCTCCTCCTCCTCCTCCCTCCTCCTCCTCCTCCTCCCTCTCCTCCTCCTCCTCCTCCTCCTCTCCTTCCTCCTCCTCCTCCTCCTGATCCACCTCCCTTCCCTCCTGCCTCCGCCGTCCTCCTCCTCCTCCTCCTCTCGTCCTACTCCTCCTCCTACACCTACTTTTCCTCCTCCGGACCTCCTCTCTCCTCCTCCTCCTCCGCCTCCAACTCCTACTTGTCCTCACTCCTCCTCCTCCTCCACCCCTCCCCCTCCTGCTCTGCACCTGCTCCTCTCCTGCCCTCCTCCTCCTCCTCCTCCTCCACCTCCATGCTCCTCTCCTGCCCCTGCTCCTGCTCCTCCTCCTCCTCCTCCTCCTCCTCCTCCTCCTCCTCCTCCTCCTCCTCCTCCTCCTCCTCCTCCTCCTCCCCGTGCCGAAGGTTCCCGCAGCTTGTGGGGTTCGTGCTTGTGAGGGACGCACGGGGCGCTGGTAAGATAGTGCGATTTTTGAACTTTCGATGAGCACCCTCACGAGCACCCCGCAGGTTAGGGAACCGGGGCGACACCAGCAATCCATCTTTCTGGCTGTCGGTGGGTGTGCCTTCCACCTGGTCTGCCCGCGGGCAGCGAGTTGCATTCCCATTCGTTTATGGCTGTCGGTGGGGTGCCATCCACCTTGTCAAAGGCCCCTTAAAGGGGGCGGAGGGGGATGTGGGACCCAGGCCCCGTCGCGTCGTTGTCCATGGCTGTCGGTGGGTGGGCCTTCACCGTTCTGGACCCAGGAGGGACTCCACAAGTGGGGCGCCCGGGGCGGTGCTCGGGGAGGTGCCCAAGGGTGCACCCACTGTGGTGCCCAAGGTGGTGCACAGGCCCATTGGGGGGGGACCCTAGGTGGCGCCCGAGGTACCCAGGGAGGTACCCGAAGTGCCCGTTGGTTTCATGCACATGCTTATTGGGCGGAGTACCCGAGGTACCCAAGGAGGCACCCGAGGTACCCAGGGAGGTACCCGAGGTGCCCAATTGTTGCCATGCACATGCTTATTGGGAGGGGTACCCGAGGGACCCAAGGAGGTACCCGAGGTACCCAGGGAGGTACCCGAGGTGCCCAATGGCTGTCATGCACATGCTTAGTTGTCATGCACATGCTTATTGGGAGTGGTACCCGAGGTACCCAAGGAGGCACCCGAGGTACCCAGGGAGGTACCCGAGGTGCCTAAGTGTTGTCATGCACATGCTTATTGGGAGGGGTACCCGAGGGACCAAATACCCAAGGTGCTCAATAGTTGTCATGCACATGCTTATTGGGAGTGGTACCCGAGGTACCCAAGGAGGCACCCGAGGTACCCAGGGAGATACCCGAGGTGCCCAAGTGTTGTCATGCACATGCTTATTGGGAGGGGTACCCGAGGGACCCAATACCCAAGGTGCTCAATAGTTGTCATGCACATGCTTATTGGGAGTGGTACCCTAGGTACCCAAGGAGGCACCCGAGGTACCCAGGGAGGTACCCGAGGTGCCCAAGTGTTGTCATGCACATGCTTATTGGGAGGGGTACCCGAGGGACCCAAGGAGGCACCCGAGTACCCAGGGAGGTACCCGAGGTGCCCAATGGCTGTCATGCACATGCTTAGTTGTCATGCGCATGCTTATTGGGAATGGTACCCGAGGTTCCCAGGGAGGCACCCGAGGTTCCCAGGGAGTTTCCCGAGATGCCCAATTGTTGTCATGCACTGCTATTGGTGTAATGATGTTACCAGTTAAACAACCCAATAACTCAAGGTGCGCAACAGTTGTCTTTCACATGCCTTAGTGGGAGTGGATACCGCGAGTACCCCAGGAAGGGCACCCGAGTACCCAGGGAAGGTACCCGAGGTGCCCCAAATGTTGTCATCACATTTTGCATTGGAGGGGTACCGAGGGACCCACAATACCCAGGTCTCCTTAGTTTTCCATGCACATGCTTATTGGGAGTGGTACCCGAGGTACCCAAGGAGGCACCCGAGGTACCCAGGGAGGTACCCGAGGTTCCCAAGTGTTGTCATGCACATGCTTATTGGGAGGGGTACCCGAGGGACCCAAAGGAGGCACCCGAGGTACCCAGGGAGGTACCCGAGGTGCCCAATGGCTGTCATGCACATGCTTAGTTGTCATGCACATGTTCATTGGGAGTGGTACCCGAGGTACCAGAGGAGGCACCCGAGGTACCCAGGGAGGTACCCGAGGTGCCCAAGTGTTGTCATGCACATGCTTATTGGGAGGGGTACCCGAGGGACCCAATACCCAAGGTGTTCAATAGTTGTCATGCACATGCTT